CAACAAGCAATGCTATCTCTGCAGCACTCTTCTCACCTTTCTTCTTTTTCTTCGCCCTCTTCCGCCTGGAAAAATTGTAACAGATCTTGTAAATCTTCAAAAATATATATATTGATAGTCGTTATTAAGAAACCGACACAATTGGAATTGTCACAATAATAAATTTTAAGGAAAGATGAAATCCTAACCTGAGGAGCATGGCCAGGAGACCGTGGTTCATTATCAAATCCATACAGCTTCAGTTGCATGAGTTCCAGGTGCTACCCTGATATCCACCTGTAACAATAACAAGGGGTGTCAAGAAATAGAAAGACAACAAAATTAAATCAAAACCAATAGCAATTGTTGGATATTTCAATTTAAATGAAGCACAAGTAAACCAAATTCAATTTAGCCTCCTCAAAGTAGAAGTGTGCTTCCAGATTCAATCAAAGAGAGATGTTATAAATGTAATTAATGATATACAACCAATTACAAACAGGAAATAGTGTTTCAAAACCAATTATTAGCTTAACATCTGGGGAGATATAGCCAACGCTTCACAAAAAAGGAATTCAAAGTGGCTTCAGTAATCATGTTTAGAAGTAACATTTCAAAAACTTCCCCATTATATCTATATTACTCATCTCAAAATGACATCAACCTTGCTGAGATCAGTAGAAGTTCAGAACCATAGTTATAGTGAAGACCATTCCTTAATATTTTCAATATAACTGGGAAGTTCTCAGAACCATGGTTTAGAATTATTAACCTGGATATGCTTTATGGTCGCACTCAAATTTTAGGTAGCTACAATTTCTTAATTTCTATTTTTGCTTAAATCTGTATCGATTTTTGTATCAGACCTGACTAAAGAAACCATTGAAGATATGCTATTTTATCCACAATAGGATCCACTACAAACATTAATGAAACATACCACAACCGTATGAACTTCCAATCCTCTGTGATGGGACTCATACAGAATATGTAATTTGTAAACAAAGAGGTACCATCACAAAACAAAAGCTCATACCTTATACCACATAGGCAGGCTGCGCATGAGTTTCACTCGCAAGCAAAGGCCAATCACGGTA